ATGCTGTCTGACTTTACAGAGGAATCGGTCTCTATGACACAGCCCCGAAGAGAAGTGCCTGGCCTACTTCTGTCTCAGTTCTTTCCAAGAAATGAAAGACAAGTCATCTCGTCCCGTCTGGGTCCACGATGAAGCAAGGGGACCCCTTGTTCGCTTCAAGACCATCAGCCAGTGCAGGTCCTTCCTGGGAAGCTGTTCTGCATTTAGCACAAAACCCGCCTGGGGGAGCTCCGCGTGCACCCGGAGCCGGCACCCGCGTGAGGGCTGAGCCGCGGGGAGGCCGCTGCCCGCCGAGCTGGCGTCTCCCCGTCTCCGGGTGACCTTTCCCGTCCGACTGCGGGGGAGGCTTGTCCTCGGTGCTCACCTGTCAAGTTCCCAGCGCTGCGAGTCCATCCAGGCTACAAATTACATTGTAACGTGGAGTATTTGGTGCTACACTGCCGTTTGGTGATTTAGGAGGAAAATGAACTCTGACAGCTTGGTCTTTGCAGTTCAGTGAATTCTAATGGTTCAAAACAAAATCCACACCAAAGGCCGCTCCCACGCCGCCGCGTCTGAGCCGCTGGGCGCCTGGGGCCCTGCGCCAGCCCAGTGACCCTGCCTGCACGTCTCATACACGGGCTCTTAGGAGGGCTGGACTGTGAGATGCTGGTGTTTGTGGCTGTAAATATTAACCGTCCCCAGAAGGGGAAGGCGCTCTTTAGCGGTCTGACCGTCTAGGCAGCTTTAAAAGACATTTTTTTATTGACTTCAGAGAGGAAGGGGGAGAGAGAGAGAGAGAGAGAGAGAGAGAGAGAGAGAGAGAGAGAGAGAGAAACATCAATGATGAGAGAGAATTATCCATTGGCTGCCTCCTGCACGCCCCAATACTGAGAATGGAGCCCACAACCCGGGCATGTGCCCTGACCGGAATCGAACCGTGACCTGGTGTTTAGGTTGATGCTCAGCCACTGAGCCACGCCGGCCGGGCTGGGCAGCTCTGTAAACATCCCATGTTCCTCCATTTGTCATAGCAGAAAGTACCTTTTCCCGCTTGGCCTGACTTGCCATTGCATCCTCAACGTGGGGCGTCCTGGGATTCAGAGGTTGGGAGAGGAGGTGGGAGAGGAGGTTGGGGAACCCCTCGGGCTCCCCGTTTCTGTGATGAGACTTGGCAGCCTTTTTCTCTCTCCTATTTGTTGGTCACCGGGTGAAGGTCAGGACCAGAACATAAGTGCTGATCCGTGATGACCTTTCCAAGGTCAAGGTGAGGTCACTTCGCATAATCTGGGCAAGAGCTGCTGTGGCCATGGGGCGTGAGGAGGACTTGGGGAATGTTTGGGGCAGGGCAGGGGGCCTTGTGGCACTCGGAGTGTCTAAACCAGAGGGAAGGAGCCGGCACGGAATGGCAAGGGGAGGACGTGGAAGATAGCAGAAGCAGCCGGAGGCTCTGGCCACGCGGAGGTCACTGCTGGTGGCGACCCGAACCGTGTCCCTGGTGTGGCCGAGGTGGACACCAGCCGGAGGGGACCCGGAGGGAATGCCACCCACCGGGCGTGGGCACCGCCCTTGGGGTTCAGGAATGGTGTCCGGAGGC